TTTTTTTTTTTTTTTTTTTTTTTTTTTGTTTTTTTTTTTCCCACTTATTGAGCTTGTGGGGTGGGGTTTATTTTGCTTTGGGGCACGCACGAAGAGAAACAAAGGTCGAAAAATTGGGGATGAATGCCGAGATTTGGAGATAAAGAAATTTTGCTTTATTCTCTTCTGCAAAAGCCTTTTTATGATTGTCATTGTTTGTTTGAGTCTAAATTACTTGCCTTCAGCGTAAGGCCTTGTCCAGATTGGCACTTTCATATTTATGAAATTTCTAGTTTCAATTGTCTTTTAGTTACAATAAGTAATTAGTTTTAGTTGGTTAATTAGATAGTTAGAGAGGGTGGAAGCAGAGGGGTAAAAGGAGTGGTAGGCATTTTGTTTTGTATCAATTGAAAACTGAGCAATAGCTTTGTTTTCAGTCTTTTGTTTTCTATTCTGGGCTTTTAACAGATTCACAAATTTAAATCTAAAAACTGAATTCCATTGAAATTAGTTTCAACCTCAATAACCTTGTTTCCTTTTAAATGTAATTGTGTGTTCACCTCCTCTCCTAATTTGGTCAAGTGCTATTTGTCTTGTCCTCATGGACTACAATTTCTAACTTGCTTCTGTTTAAAGATTAATTTTATATGTTTTGTATGTCCAATTCTGTTCATGAAGGTTTGGAACATTGCATCACAGCCCCTGTTGGAACTGAGAGAAACCCACTTATAGTTGATGACGAGATTATGTTTCCTAGATCCATGACAGAAAAGAAGGGATTCCCTAGGCAGGATACAATATTGGACAGGCTGTCTGAGCAAGTGAAGGTATTGCAAGTATTACTATATCCGGATGATCTTAAATTTCTGACGTTTGTTTTTTGTATTTTTATTCTAGTTGGAGTAAGTTTCAGCCAAAAAGTTGATATTAATATTTGTTTGACTGTTCTGTTCAATCTTGTTTGAAAGATGCAAATCTGAACAGTGCTATTTGTTCTTTTGTGTATTGGACATATCTTCTGGTTCTTGATACGTGGTTATTTGAAAAATGTGCTTTGCAGCTTTTTTTCTTGAAATTGTTGTCTATTTTTGCGATTTATGCGTCAGAGTTTCAGAATTATTTGCATGTTCACAACTCTTTCTTGTTTTTCTACTCAGCAACTGATTAATAACCTAGTGAGGATACAAAACGATGGGACTGTTGAAGTTGATCTAGAAAGGAGTGCATCTGTTGCTCCAGAATTGTTCGAGCTCCAATCTTTTGCAGAGTTAACAGTGAGTGAAAGTCTTAGTTCAGAGTCAAAAAAATGTGTTCCACGGTTACAAATTGTCATACTTGTGGTTGGAACTAGAGGCGACGTACAACCTTTTCTGGCCATTGCAAAGAGACTTCAGGCATGTTTGGATAATTCATTTTGATGCACGAGAATTGCATTGATCATTGTTATTTTTGTTATTGTTTTATTTCATATCTTATGAATTATGATATAGAACTCCCTAATATCTTGACATCTTGTGGTTTACTTTAATATGAGGCCTAAATGAGAATTTGACATTACTTTTCATGGAAATCACATCATATATAGATTTCCTTTAATGTGCTTTGTTCTGAAAAGGTCTTATACTGCTTGTAATGTATTATCTTGATAATTTGTCATATTGGAATTTCTTATAACTTATCATTGAAGTTCTTAATAAGATATATACTTTTTGGGAAGTGGTTGTTCTGGTTTCCTGTGGTTCTTGTTGATTTTAAGTTTAAAATCCCTAGGTTTTTCCTAATTATCGGATTGTTGTTACATGATTTGCACCACTGATCTATTTGAAAGGATGCAAAATCTTGATTTTTAACATCTATTAATGTATTGTAAATCCCAGCAGTCAGTTTTGTTGAACTCATACATTCTTGCTTTCATGGATGAACTAATATTTACTTGCAGGAGTATGGTCATCATGTTAGGCTGGCAACTCATGCTAATTTCAAAACATTTGTAAAGTCTGCTGGTGTCGATTTCTATCCTCTGGGTGGTGATCCTCGTGTATTGGCAGGATGTAAGTGGTTCCTTTTTATTGCTTTCATTAATATCGCAAACATTCACATTTTCAGTTGTACTTTGTGCTTAACCTGACTATTTATATTGGTTCACCTATTAAAAATGGTGTTTAGATTAGAAAACCTGCTGGAATGCACTGATATTGCATGGTGCTCATACACTTTTCAAGTAGCAGTGTAGAAAATCTTGCTTTTATACCTCAAGTTCTTGATGTATCATGAATTTTCTAAATTTCTGAGTATTGATAAGTCTCAACAATGTAAAATAGATACTTTTAACATATCTATAACCATCCCTGATTCCTCTACTGCAGATCAAGCTAAAACTTGAACAATGAATGTGATCTTTCAAGCTTTGGCCCTGTTCTCCTCTTGTCTCAGTCTCCCCTATTTTTGTTTTGAAACCAATGTTTAAAATCCTGGATAGCGCCACTTAGCAGCCAACCCCAAAAATGTTGTTGTAGCAAGATAATGTATAGATGGATAACTGCTATTTTGAATTTTTTTATGTAGTTTATATAATAAAAAATTGTAAAAAAGAAAAATTACTCAAAATTAATGACATTCATAATAAACAATAAAAATTCATAGTTGTTCTTAAACAAAATATCCAAGTAAATACCAACAAAAGTCAAATACAAGTTTCCTAGATAGGCATCATCAATATTCAATCATCATCTTCTAAATCTAAGTTTTCTTTATCACTATTGTTGCTACATCTATAGATTTCATTTTTGGAAATTAAAATCCCAAAAATAGTCCTCCAAAAAAGCTCTAATGCTTATGTTCAGAGGGATTTTTAGAATCAACACATAGTGCTGCTATAGTGCCTGCTACAGCCTACAGCCGCTATTCAACCCATGATTTGGTCCGCTATGGCCGCAACACTAAACCGCTCCACGATGGCAGCCCTTGTAGCCAGGGGCAGCTCCACCACTATAGCATGCTATTTAAAACCCTGTTTGAAACATGCTGAAACGATATTGTATTATTGTGTTAATCATATTCCGATGTTGCTCCTATTCATTATACTTGCACAAACTGATACACTAAATAAGTTATTTAAAAAATAGATATGGCAAGGAATAAAGGTTTGATCCCTTCTGGACCGGCTGAAGTATCTACCCAAAGAAAGCAGCTGAGGGCCATCATTGATTCCCTTCTTCCGGCATGCACAGCACCTGATATGGAAACTGGTGTTCCTTTCAGAGCTCAAGCTATTATTGCCAATCCTCCTGCTTATGGTGAGTGGTTAGGATTTGAGATTAGTGTATAGTGTATTTCATCATTTCAAATATTTCTTATGTTTGATTTTTTTTTAAGGTTTAATTATCCATAGTTCTTTTATTGCAACTTGATTGTCATATGACACGTGACTTGCATGTATGACATTTGATGATTCCATAGTTAGTTATGAGACTACACTGTTTATCTGTAGAGTAGAACTTAGTTCTTCCACCTGGATGACAGTTAAAACAATATTCATGGTCTTCACATAGTAATGTCGTATTACGAGACCTATTCAAATGGTTCTCCCTGATGTTTGAGTCAGACTTGGCTATCTGGTATTGATAGGATGAAGTGCATCGGCATTTTGCACTTGTACATGCAATTAACTTTCAGTGCTCATAAACATTTGGGTTGGGCTTATCTCCCTTCTAAGGTGCATAAACTGGAGTAGAATTGTAGAAATAAAGAAAGAATTAAGATATTTCAGTTTTTTCTTCTCTTTTCAAATGCCCGTTGCTTGTATAGTGTTAACCATGGACTGGAAAAAGGGGAAAAAAAAAAAAGAAAAAGAACATTAGGACCACCAGATTAACTACCGACATTGAAGTATGAAATTCAAGGGCTTTCACATTTAAAGGCTGAACAATAATGAATTTGTTTTTTAGAATCTGTTCACCAAAATGTTATTTAATTCAGTAATTATTTTAAGAAAAAGAGTTTTTCATTTTAGCAGAATATTTTTTGTTTGTTTATCACTGTTATTTGCAAATTCACCTGGACATGCATATGTTTATTTTTAGAATAAAATAGATATAATTATATTTTTTTATGCTTGCAGGACATGTACATATTGCTGAGGCCCTTGGGGTACCCCTCCACATCTTCTTCACAATGCCATGGACGTGAGTTTAAATTGTTATAAAAGTTGTATCACTTTTTATATGTTAGGAAGATAAAGTATTATTCTTGAATTGATTTCATAGTTCATACGGTGCGCAAATGTTTTAAACTTTTAATTAAGAACAGTTACAACTGTGTTTTCAAATATTCAGATAAATGCAACATTTTCTTTTATCATCTCTTCTTAGTGCTTTCTTTAAATATTTCAGGTCCCTTAAAATTGCTTTTTTTAATACACAGGCCAACATATGAGTTCCCCCACCCTTTGGCACGTGTTCCTCAAAGTGCTGGTTATTGGGTATGTCCTTTGCTGACCCTATTTATATAACCTGATTTTGATAATTTTATGAATCTTTGCTGACTACCTTACCTACATGCCTGTTTCAATATTTCTGTGCCATCTCCAGCTGTCCTATATAATTGTAGATCTATTGATATGGTGGGGAATGCGAGGAATTATCAATGACTTCAGGAAAACAACATTGAAGCTTGCTCCTATTGCATACTTCAGTATGTACCGTGGATCAATATCTCATTTACCGACTAGCTATATGTGGAGTCCTCATGTTGTTCCGAAACCAAGTGGTATGGACAAGGATTAAATCGTTAGATATATCATCTAATGGTCTCATCATACTTTTTTTTGTTTAAATGAAAAATCATTTTAAATCATTGAAGTAGCAAATAAATTCATCAGCTGTTACTGTCTAAAACTGAATGCACAGTTACTGTTGTCTTGGATTGTGAACATATAAAGTTATCAGTTGAAATTTAATCATTGAATGAATTTATAAAGGAAGACTTTTATAATTGCTTTGGATTAAATCAGATTGCAATCAAATTTTATCTAAGTTTAAGCTTTAAAGAGACTTCATATGAATCTTGTATGGAGTACAGTGAACTTTTATGTGTTGATAATATTATTATTTGTAAATTATAGAGATATAAAGTCATTGAATCCCACTTAACATCTCAAGTTTTTACAAGAAATAATCCATTAATCCTTGAGAGTAAATGGTATCCATCTTACATGTTTGGTAGACATGTTTTGCTTAGGGTGTCAAATTTGTTTCTAGAACTAATGACCTTTTACATATTTGCAGACTGGGGCCCTTTAGTTGATGTTGTTGGTTATTGTTTCCTGAGCCTTGCATCAAAGTATCAACCTCGGGAAGACTTTGTCCATTGGATTAAAAAAGGACCACCACCTTTATATTTTGGGTTTGGGAGCATGGTATGGTAATTATACTTGAACTACAAGTCAAATTTTATGAACTGTCTCTGATAATCAGCTTTTTTCTTTCTTTGTTTTTTTTCCTGTAAATTTAACCTTTCTATTAGGATTCTACTACCTCTTATAGTCTTCTCTTAATATTATGATTGTATATGTCATATTGATCGGTATAAATGCTTTACAGTTATCATAGAATTATTGCAATGTCATAAGTTGAAAAAAAAAAGAAATTGTATATTAGTTGTGTATTTTGTATATAATCTAATATCCCTATTTATAGAGTAAATGACTATGTTTAAATAAGGAAATAACAATAATAAAGAAATAGGGAAACAAAATAATGAGGAAATAGGGAAACCAATATCTATAGCTATTTAGAAATATTCTAAATCTTCTAAATATTTGTGATATTTACAACGCTTCCCCTCAAGTTGATATCAATCATTCCCAACTTGCCAATAAGATCTTGGAATCTAGCATTAGGAAGTCCCTTTGTGAAGACATTTGCTACTTGAACTCTTGTAGGTATATGAGCTATAACTATAAGGCCACCATCCAACTTCTCTTTGATGAAGAGTCTATCAATCGCTATGTGTTTTCTTCTGTCATGTTGAACTAGATTACGAGCAATGCTGATAGCCAAATTGTTATCACAAAACAACTTCATTGGACCCTGGTAGGTCATCAAGAATAATTTTTATCCATAATCCTTCACATATGTCATGTGCCATAGCTCAAAACTCAGCTTTTGCACTAGATCTAACAACTACACTCTACTTTTTGCATCTCCATGTTACTAGATTCCCACCAAGAAACATGCAATAACCAAAAGTAGATCTTCTATATGTGACAAACCTTGCATAGTCAGCATCAGTGTATATCTCCATGGACAATGGACCTTCTTTTTTTAAATAATAATCCCTAGACTTGCCTTGAGATATTGGAGAATCCTCTCAATTGTCTGAAGGTCGCTCTCACGAGGGTCATGCATAAATTGGCCGACCACACTAACCGCATAGGCAATATCAGGCCTAGTGTGTGATAGATATATCAACTTCCCTGGTATTGAGATGTCTCTACTGGTGAACTTTCTTCACCTTCAATCTTGTGATTTTGCTCAATGGGCACCCCTATGGTCTTGCACCCATGTTTTCTTGTCTCTTTTAAATATTTCCTTTGAAAAATAAAGATTCCTTTTCTGGAGTATGCGACCTCTATTCCATGGAAATACTTGAGTTTTCCCAACTCCTTCATTTCAAAATGAGTTAACAATTTTTCTTTTAGAATTCGTTTCTCTACCTCATCATCCCCTGTAATAATCATATCATTTACATATGTTACGAGAAGGGTGAGTTTTCCATTAGGAGAATATTTTATGAATAAAGTATGATCACTTTCACTTTGTTTGTATCCCAAGGATTTCATGGCTTGAGCAAATCTTCCAAACCATGCTCAAGGAGATTGTTTGAGGCCATACAAAGCCTTTTTCAACTTACACACTTTTTTTCCACCATGAGATTCAAATCCTAGGAGAATCTCCATGTAGACTTCCTCCTCTAGATTTTCATGTAGGAAGACATTCATAACATCAAATTGTTCTAGATCTCAACCAAAGTGGGTGGCTAGAGAGATAATGATTCTTACTATATTCATTTTTGCTTCAGGAGCAAATGTCTCCTCATAGTCAATGCCAAAGGTCTATGTGAACCCCTTGGCCACCAATCATGCCTTGTGTCGATCTAATGTTCCATCGGATTTACACTTCACTATGTATATCCATCTGCACCCTACAACTTTCTTGTTTTTAGGTATATCAACAATCTCTAAAGTTGAGTTTCTCTCTAATGCCTTCGTCTCCTCATTCATGGCTCTAACCCAATTTCTATCTATTAGAGCTTCTTGGACTAACACAGGTATTTTAATTGCATCAATGGCTACAATAAAGTTTCAATGTTGAACAGAGAGATGGTCGGTACAAACAAATTGAGAAATAGGATACTTGACACATGATCTCTTCCTTTTCATCAAGGTAATAGGCATATAATCTATAACTTTCTCATCATCATTATCATCCTTAGGGACATTTACCTCTGGTTTTGACAATTTAACTTGCTATGGGAGTAGAGTGGGTTTCTTTCACCTCTCATATTTCTTAACAAAGAATTGATATTCTTCTTTTGCATCATTGTGATCTTCCTTTGTTTCTTCTGCATCATTGATTAGTATCTTGGACATCCTACAAGGAAGAGGTAATGATCCAAAGACAGACTCAACTTCTAGAATAATCTCCGCCTAAAGTTGAGGGCTAACAAAGAAAGGTACGATTTCATGAAATGTGACATCCTTTGTAACAAAAAAACGACTATTGGGTCTAACTTGTCACAATGAGGATTGTGAGAATGAACAAATGCAACATACCCAAACACACGACATGAGAGACTTAATACTAGGGGAGAAGAAGAGAAAAGTGGCGTGTTCAATTGAACTAATAGCCTATAAGACATGAGTGGATAACCTGTTAATGAGATAAGTGGCAGTTAGGACAACTTCTCCCTCACAAACAACAGACATTTGAAAGAGTAGAGTTCTGACAACCTCAAGTAGGCGACGATTGTTTCTTTGTACTACCCCATTTTGTTGGGGAGTATTAACACATGTAATTCATGGATAATAGCTTGCTTTATAACAAACTTAGAAAATTCAAGATTAACATATTCAATTCCATTGTCTGACCGGATTCTTTTGATAAACTTGCTAAATTGATTTTTGACAAGACAAAAGAAATTGACAAATATTTGGCAAACCTCATATTTGTGTTTCATAAGGTATGTCCATGTTAGATGAGTGCAATCACGATGAATGTTGCAAACCATCTGACCCCAAAAACAGATTCAACAACAGGTCTCTATACATCAGAATGGACAAGATCAAAAGGAGAAACACTTTTATTATTACTAGGTAAAAAGGATGCATGATGGTGCTTAGAAACTTGACAAATATCACAATTAAAATACTCGACAGACTCTTTTGTAAACAAATGTGAAAATAGATATTTAAGTAAACCAAATGGAGGATGTCTGAGATGCTTGTGATGAAGCCGAATTTGTGAAGTAGCCCAGGTGTTTGAGGTTGCTTGGTGACCGAAAGACATCTCATTTTTTTTTATTACTATCATCTAATTTATGTTACAAAAAATACAACTCACCTTACTCTTTAGCAATTAAAATTGTTTTTTCCCGAGATAAGGTCCTGAAAGACACAATGAGAATGAAAAAAATTTATGGAGCAATTTAAATCTCAAGTAAGCCGATGTTTAGAAATGAGATTATTAGCTCATTTAGGGACATAGAGAACATTGTGCAATGATAAAGATAATTGAAGTTGGATGTTACCAAATCCAACAATAGGAACATGATCTCCATTAGCAACTGTAATAAGTTGTTTATCATAGGCTTACGTGTATGTTGTAAAGTGTGTAAGGAATGGGGTCATGTGGTTTGTTGCTCCAGAATCAAGAACCCATATGCTTTGGGAAATAGAACCAGAAATATTAAAGGAACTCTTGCCCTTCATAGTCAAGACACAAGAATTGGATGACTTTATCATGGAATCAAGGAGGGTTTTGAAATGATTTACTTCCTCTTTAATGAAGTTAAAATATCCCGATGAATAGTGCTACATGAGCAATGCGCGGTGAATAGTGATGCGCGAATAGTTTTTTTTTTTTTTTTATGTTTAACGGGCAAAGGAAAGTTGCACCTCCTGACCCAACAACCAGTGGTGCCATAGGCAATTATAGTGACAAACAATATGTTGGTATCAAGCAGTGAAAAATACATTGGTATTGAGCAGCAGAAACAAAACTCCCAAGATCAAAAACTCGTATACCAAGTTAATAAAAAAGAAACTGTATATTAATTGTGTATTTTGTACTTTCTCTAATATTATAGAGTAAAGGACTATGCTTAAATAAGGAAATAGCAATAATAAAGAAATAGGAAAACAAAATAATAAGGAAATAGGGAAATCAATATCTAAATATATTTAGAGATATTCTAGATATTTTAAATATCTATGATATTTGCAACAACATATTTTCATTATAACTGTTTCAGCAATACTCGTAATATTAACTCATGAAATTCTCTAAAAATCATGTTTTACTTGTCAGCCTCTTGAAGATCCTACAAGAACAACAGATGTTATATTGGAGGCACTAAAAGATACTGAACAACGGGGAATTATTGACCGGGGTTGGGGCAATCTAGGGAATTGTAAGTATTTTATTCCAATTTTGTTTTGTACCCATTTGATTCCTTTTTTCCCAAATACTAATTGCTATAGGAAGTTAAAATTAATTTTTGGTTTGATGTTTTGTTATTTGTTTGTATGTTAGGGTCGGTGAATGAGTGAAATGAGTTATGTGTTGTTTATTACCAAGTTTGACTTTATGACCTCATGCAAAGCGTTCAAACCCCTAACCACTAACTGCCTCCTATTGGTTTTGTGTTTTGTTAATCTTAGATCCAATTAGTTTTTATGAATTTGCATACAAGAATATGCTTGAGAAGTTTACATTTTTTAGTTACATAAATGATTTTCTTGTTCTGCTATGTCACACTCTTTTATTCTTTGAAGCTGAAAAGTTTTCTTCTGATGGATTTTTTTTATGACAACATATGTTATTCTACAAACTGAAGATGTCTTTTTCCTCATTTAGAAGGGTATAAAAAACTTAGTAATATGAAATACTACCTTTGTTCCTATATATAAAAAAACAAATACTTAATTAATCAAGACCAATGAAAATAGTTAAATTAGTTAGTTGTAATTAATAATATTATAATTTAAAATTTTATTACCCATAAAATAAAAAGGTGTAAGTAGTAGTTATACTTAATAACAATACTCAAAAATCAGAATATTTTTTTCTACCAATAAGCATGAATCATAGTGTTAGTTATCCAATAAATGCATTCACTTTCATGGTAGATGACTCAATAATAGACTCATAATAAGTCAAGGATATAAAAGAAAATTACCAATTAATACATTTAAAAGTAGTAGTAAGTTTCTTATAATTAGGACCAAAACAAGACTCGCATTTGTTTCTTATATATAGGAATAGAGGTAGTATTATAAAATTGTTCTCATTCGTGCTGAAGGAAATTTTCTGAAATTGTTTAATCTCGTGCTGTTATCCTCATACTCCATTAAGTGATTCAAAAAGTATTTTTTAAACCGTCAAAAGATATCCCCCTTCCTTTTTCTTTTTATTCCTGTATTCTGTTTCTGGTTTACTTTCAACAAGAATATTCACTTTTTTTTGTTTTGGCTAGATTATTGTTGAGGAATTGATCAATTTTTTCCAAAGAAAAATCCTGGAAAAACCAAAGACCAAGATTCCAAGATTCCAAAATAGAATTTATGGGATTGTTTGATGGAAAACAAGAGTTATGCATATTTCACTCATGTCCTGGTTGTGGAATACATAATTTTGCTTTCCAGGAGCTAAAGGACGAATGAACTGTAAAGATCTCCATATGGATGTTCTTCCTAAGATATAATTGAACAATTTATAACGAGGATGAGCATAAATGAACACCTAATGTTTACATCACCCTGCCAATTGGCAAGTGACCTCGAGATTGAATATTTCAGTTTATTTTCATATGCTTTAATAATGTCGACCCACTTAAATATGTTTCTATATGTATGTGACAGAGTATTTAATTTAAGACATGCCTGCAAAATTTTCTTTAATATCATCAATTTTTTTGGCTATTAATAACTTATTCAGTGAGAACTTTCTGTTGAAATTTCTGCATTTTGATGACCTTAAACTTTGAAGAATAGATAAACTTTTTCTCGTGACATGTCTTCTGATATGCTTTGAGAAAATTATATATTTTGTTCAATGCATTTTAGGTAATTGACATTAGTTTGATTTGCCTTTTGTTTTCCATTATGTAGTGGCAGAACTTCCTGACAATGTTTTCCTTCTAGAGGAATGCCCTCACGATTGGCTGTTTCCTCAATGTTCCGCTGTGGTGAGTTTGAATTTATGTTTTCTTGTGGGTTTATTTGGCAAAGAAAGAAAATGCTTTGGAGTGGTTTACTCTATTTCTAGTTTAAGTCTTTTTACTTTGGTTCTTAATTTCACGATCAAATTTTAAATGTGAAAAGTTCTTCCTAGAAAAAACTAAGAGAAATAGGGGCAAAGGGGTTGGTGTAGAAATTGGAATATCCACTCAGACGTGGGCTTGAAATAACGGGAAGATATTTTGGCACAAAATTGCAGGTGCATCATGGTGGAGCTGGAACCACGGCTACAGGATTAAAAGCTGGGGTAATTAATGTTCAGCAGTATCTTCTAAAATATTTATCTTTTACATAATCCAAGGATTCGTTTGAATGTCTCAGAATTTGAATGACATGATTCTGATGCTTTTAAAAAAAATTTAATATGAATACCGTAACCTGCAGTGTCCGACAACCATAGTTCCATTCTTTGGAGATCAGTTCTTTTGGGGAGATAGAATATATCAGAAAGAGTTGGGACCAGCCCCAATACCAATAGCTCAGCTCAGTGTTGAGAATTTATCAAATGCCATAAGATTTATGCTCCAGCCAGAGGTGCGTTTAAATTCTATTCATCCCTCATTTTAGATGTCCTGTTCCTACCATCCTCTTTTATACTTCCAAAGAACAAGGATATTAAAAAATAAAAATCCTGGCCCAATTTTTTGTTCCTCCTGTCTATTTTATAAATATAATGTAATAATGCAAGCAAAGTCATGGGTCATGGTTTATAGCAATAATATTGATAATTAGTGAATTATAAATATTCAGGTGAAATCTCGAGCAATGGAAATTGCTAAGTTGGTTGAGAATGAAGATGGTGTTGCCGCTGCGGTTGATGCATTCCATCGCCATCTACCTGATGAACTGCCACTGCCAATTCCATCTCCGGTGGAGGAGGATCACTTGAATCCTTTGCAGTGGTTTTTTCTCCAACTTGGAAAGTTCTGTTGTGCACCTTGTGGTGGTGTGTAGGTTTTCTATATTAATTTCTTTTGTATTTTCTTTGATTCATTTTAGAATTACATTTTCTAGGAGCTCTCCATTTTTTCAGAATGATTTCTTAGTGTTTTGCTTAGTTATTTCATTCATTCTGTCAACTCTCTATTGTGAGGGCTTGACTGATAGTTCATATTCACGTATATTGTATATTTGATCCCCCACAGAGGTATATAGGTTGTGTCATTAGTGGTAGATATTCAGAATATGAAGAGCTGGTAACCTCATTCATGTAGCGGCTGCTCCAAATTGGTTGTCTCTGTATGTTTTGAAATTTGATTGTTGATAATAATATCATGAAAAAGAATTGCGTATATTACATTCTGTATTTTCTCCCGTTAATTTATCTGGGGCTTGGAAAAGGTGGGAGATATTTTTTGTTGTATACATGTTAAGTCACATTACTTTACAGATAAAAATAAAAATAAATTGACGATTGTGTAAAGCTAGTTAGATCACAAATTATTTATTTTTATAATAATTATCTTGAAATATGTCGATGATGATTTTTTTATTGGTTGGAAGTATAAGTTTTTATATACATCAATAATGCATGGCAATAAAACTCTTTTTTTTTAGTAACTCTATTATTAGTATGAAATATCTACAAGTTTCATCTACTAATGTTTGTTAAAGAACTTGATTTAGCGGAGTTTTATTTTCTAATAGTGTTTTTCATATATAAGATTTGAATAAAAACATTATATGAAGTCTAGTACTATTTAGAAGCTTGTTGGAAAAAGAAAAAAAAAATAAAAAATAGAAGCTTGTTGGTCCATAAAACTTGTATTTTAATTACTTATAGATAAATTTTTAATTATTTTAAATTCTTGTAATTTTTTATAGATAAATTATTTTAATTACATCTTTTAATTTCAATAATTATGTGTATTAAAAAATTTAATTAAGTTTGAAATAAAATAATATGCACTTAAATAAGCATCATATTTCATTATGCTGGTTAGAAAAATAGTTAAAGTATAGTTAAAATATTTGAAATAAAATAAAATAAACCTGCCATTTATCATTATTTATTTTTTAAAGTGTAATATTAATTAATAAAATAAATTTATTACTAGTGCTATTTAATTAATGAACATGAATCAAGGATCAATTTTTAAAAGAAATTTATTATATGTTTAAAAAAAATACTTCCGAATATTTTTTATTATAAAATAATAATAAATTAAATATATTTTATCACTTAAAAATAAAATAAAACAAAATGGGGAGAGATCAAATTACTAATTATTACATTGTTTAGTAACTTTATATAAAAAGTAAATTTTTTCAATTTAATTGTTAAATTATAACTTTATATTATATTTAATGTTTATATCAATTTTTGTTAAAATTGGAGTACAATAAGAATGTAATCAAATGATTTATATTTTAGTATTTTTTGAAAAATATATATTTTTTCAATTTTTATTTGTGAATGTGTTAAATAATTTTGTATAAATATAAAATCTTGTATATATAATTTAGGTAAAAGAAAATTTTAATTTAACAATTATATTAATATAATACATTTTTAAATAAAGTTATTAAATGATCTAATAGTTGTAAAAGTTAGTAGCTATAATTTGATTCTTCTCAAAATAAAATTAAATAATATAAATTTATTTAAAGATATTTTTGATTTATTTTATTCAAATTTTAATCTTTCCCTCTCCTTTTCTTTCCAATTTAGAAAGAAATAAATTTTAGTGCAAAAATCACCAAAACAATAAGGGAATGTTTGATATAAAAGAAGTTTTTCATATCCAAAAATTATTATTCCTAAAAATTACATATCCTAAAAATAATTAAAATTGGTTTAGTTATGTTCCTGAAAATATTCATATAGAATTTTTGAGAATTAAAAATTTTATGTTTGGTTGTAATAATATATTTTAAGTATATAAATATTTTTTACAAAAATATTATTTATTAAAATAATTTCATTAGATATATTTATTTATCCAAATCTTATTATAAATATAACAAAAATTATTTTAAAAAGTTGGAAACATATAATTAAAATTATTTAAATATATAATTTATTAAAATAAATAAATATGTTACATAAT